CCCCTGGAAGTAGTATACAGGAATCAATTCCTCTTAAGAAGCTTTCTTACAATAAGACACACCTTAAGCAAGACCTCCATGACCCAGCTTCTACCCTTTCTTTGTTCTGGTTTTTCTATCTTTCTCATCTCCTGGCACCTGTATCTCAGGACCTGTCAGAAAAGTATGATGTTCTGTCTCATGTTACTATTCTACTATAAAATAATTATGGTAATATCTTTGTGTTGAAGTCTTTCCTTTGTCTAAATGGCCTGCATTATAGTTTCCTGTCACTATTTAAATTTTTCAAAGTGTAAGCTGCAGTCTGAACCTAAAAGAACTTAAACATGACAGCATATGTGGAATCAAATATGTTTTATGAGCCAGACAGTGGTGGTTGACACTTTTAACCCCAGCACTCAGGAGTAAAAGGCAGGCAGTCAAACAAACAAAATAAAACAAAACAAAACAAAGATAGTTTTAGTCTCTTTCATCATTGAGCATTAGCCAGAGATGGCTGCATGCTGTCATTAGAGAAAGTTTCCTTTTTATTATTTTTTTCGAGACAGGGTTTCTCTGTAATGTTTTGGAGGCTGTCCTGGAACTTGCTCTGTAGACCAGTCTGGCCTTCAACTCACAAAGACCTGCCTGCCTCTGCCTCCAGAGTGCTGGGATTAAAGTCATGTGCCACCAACACCAGGCAAGTTTCCTTCTTCTAATCTCTTAAATCTGTGTAGTTATTTCTCAGTGAAAAGGCAAATTAATTCTAATACAGGTGAACTACTGGCCTGTTAGAAAAAGGTTTCTGAGACAAGGACTCTCATGTTGACACAGGTGGCCTTGAACCCATCCTGTTGCTTTGCAGGGAAATGACCTCTCTGTCTACTTCATTTCCCCTTCTCAAATTCAGTGACTTCATGACCTCTGTGTTTTAAAATCATCCATTTGGATCCTGAAGTTGATTTCCATTGCTGTCACAGGGAAAGGATTTGCATGTGTAGCATGGTTTCTGCTTTCAGACCAGAGTAGAAAGAAGAGTTTATTGAGTTCACTGCTAGGAGTAAAAGGGGTAGGAAATCAGCTTCTTGAGTCACCATCCTGTAAAAGAACCCCATTGTGGCAATGAGATAGTTTGAATATAATCTCATAGGGAGTGGCACTATTAGAAGGCATGGTGTTGCTGCAGTGAGTTTGGCATTTCTGAAAGAAGCATGTCATCACTGGTGTTGGACTTTGAGGTTTCCTATGCTCTGGGTATGGCCAATCATACCAGACAAATTCCTGTTGCCCATATATCAAGATGTAACCAACACCACATCCTCCTTCATATCATGCTCCCCACTATGGTGACAATGGACTGAACCTCCATATCTGTAAGTGAGCCACCCCAATTAAGTGTTTTCATCTTACATTCATACCCCAGTTGTCCTCCCTTCCCATCTACTGCCCCCTACCTCTCACCCTAACCCATTCCACATCCACATATCAGAGGGGGTAAGGAGTCAACAAGTCTGGCATACAGAGTTCAGGAAGGACCAAACTACTCCATCCTGTTTCATCCTGTGCAAGTCAACCCATAATAGGGTGTGGGCTTGAAAAAGCCAGTTCATGCACCTGGGATGGGTCCTGGTTTCATTGACAGGGGATCCCTAACAGATCATGTCCCATTACTGTCACCCACACTCACAGGTTTGGTCCCATGCAGGTTCCCCAGCTGTCTTTCCATAGTCTCTGAGCTCCCACTAGTGATAGGACTAGGAGGTGTGACTGTGTTGGACTGGGATTTTCCTTGTTAGAGGAAGCATATCACTGTGGGGCCAGCCAATGTTTTTTATATTCTGGATGATTCCCAGTGTCAGTCACTTTCCTGTTGCCTCTGAGTCAAGATGTGAGGACTCTAACCTTCAGCACCACATCTGCCTGCATGTTGCCATGCCCCTGCAATGAGGGTGATTATCTAAACTTCTTAAATTTTAAGGAACATACCTCAGTAAAATATTTTCTTTGTAAGTATTGACATGGCTCATTGTGTCTTCACAGCAATAAAAGCATAACATAGACAGAAGTTGATGCCATGGACTGGGGTATTGCTGTGAGATCCTGGCACTGTCATACAATTTCTTTGATGTGCTTTCAGCAGTGTTGATGTGCTGCCTTGCCTCTCCCTTTATGTCTGTTCATTGGGATTTCTTCCTCAAAGCTATATACTATTTAAAGTACCAAGAAATGGTGTATGTGAGCCTACTACTCATTTTCCTTCTAAAGTGAAGGGTGAATACATTTTAATGTTCATGTCATGGAATAAGTGAGGCAAGCACCAGAATTATTTGACTATACTGTCAATGATATACATATTTATATCAAATGGGAGTATCACACTTTCTGTTCTACATATGTGTGGGGTGTTTTAGGATGCAGTAACCTATGATGATGTGCACATCAGCTTCACTCAGGAAGAGTGGGCTTTGCTGAATCCTTCCCAGAAAAGTCTCTTCAAGGATGTGATGCTGGAGATGTACTTGAACTTCTCTGCCATAGGTGAGACTGAATTTTCATTCATGATTTAAAATAAGGGAACAACTGCTTCTTGGTTATTGGTACTCTTCTGTAATTTTGATTGAGAAAAAGGAATATTAGGTGAAAAAGACATAGTCCTAATATTCATTGAAGGTATTAACTTAAATGTGATTTAACTTCCATTCATATTTCATATATTTTGTGGTGTTGTATTTTAGGATACAGGTGGGAAGATCATAATACTGATGAACACTGTCAAAATTCTACAAGACATAGAAGGTAATTTTCACGTACAACTTTTTATACAAATTTGCCTCTGAAGAAATAATAATGTATCCTAGAAATTTTAAAGAAAAGCAACAGTATTAATAAGCACAGCTTAAAGTATATTAATGATTCCTCATTTCTCACAAAACCATCTACCTCAATGTCAGGTCACTATTCTGTGTTTGAAAGGCAACCCTGTGAAAACGACGGCAAGGAAACAATGCATTAACTGATACCACCATATGAATTAGAGTCTTATGAGAGCTACACCGTAGAAATGCCAATCTGTTTAGATTAATACCACTCAGATATTTTAAATGGTATGCACATTGAATACATGATAGATATTTGTCCAAGACCTGAGAAAAAATGAGTCTATAGTAAAGTTCACCTTAGTCATATATATGTGACATTGCTAAGCATATTGAAAGGGTAAGTTTATAGTCAGGAAGGTTGTTGTAGAGAAACCTTAATCCCTATACCATGTTTCTGAGAGGAAATAAATTCAAACTGTGTGAATGCAATGGGGAAAACTTTTACTGGTTATTTGTCCTTTAATGAGCATCCAGTCAGTGGTGGTGGAGCACACCTTTAATCTCAGCACTCTGTGAGGTCATATGACATCCAGTCAGTGGTGGTGGAGCACACGTTTAATCTCAGCACTCTGTGAGGTCATATGACATCCAGTCAGTGGTGGTGGAGCACACCTTTAATCTCAGCACTCTGTGAGGTCATATCACATCCAGTCAGTGGTGGTGGAGCACACCTTTAATCTCAGTGCTCTGTGAGGTCATATCACATCCAGTCAGTGGTGGTGGAGCACACCTTTAATCTCAGCACTCTGTGAGGTGAAGGATAGCAAGACCTATAAATTGAGTTTGAGTATGGGCTCCAAAGCTACACAGAAATAACCTGTCTCAAAAACTAAGAAAAAAATAAATATCATATGTGATTATAAATACAAACCATGTGAGCATAGAATAAGGAAAGAAGCAATGGAATCCCCCCTCTCTCTTACACACACACACACACACACACACACACACACACACACTCGGGACAATTACGGGATATGAAAGATGTTTGGTAAGCTCCAATAAGAGTAGATTTGTCAAATGTGATACAAGTTTACAATTGATTCATTGTCCAACTTCATTGCAAAGCCATCAACAAATTCACACAGCAGAAAAGCCCTATGAATTTTGGATTGTATGAATACTTCCATTTGTCCTGGTATATTCTTCCAATGTAGCATGATTCACACTATAGGAAAAGTTTGAAGGCCATTAGTAGGACAGGGCTCTGAGTTCCTCAATTTCTTTTCAAAAGAAGGAAAAAATCTCATATAAATAAAATGCCATAAATTTGGGCTGTGAAACAAAGGTTCTATCTAAAATTAAAGTCATCTTCTAAGCCACAAACAACCCCTCATGAAGGGAAGCATAATGAATGTAAAAGTTAAGATCTGATTCCTACTTACAATTAGACAATATTATAAAATTAATTCATACAGAAATGAAGTTTCATCAGTATCATGCATGTGGTAAAGCTTTTACATGTGCCTATTATCTTTGTGGGAATGAACAAAGCCATAAAGGAGAGAAACCCTATAAATACACTCAATGTATTAAAACCTTTGTGTGTTACAGGCATCTTCAAAGGCATGAAAAAATTCATACTGGAGAGAAACCATATGAAAGTTTCCAGTATGGTGAAGTCTTTGCAGGTCACAGTTGTCTACAACTCCATAAAAGAACACATACTGGAGGGAAAACCCATGAATGTAATCAATGTGGTAAAACCTTTGCAAGTCATGGTGAGTTTAAAAGTCATATAAGAACACACACTGGAGAGAAACCTTATGAATGTAATCAATGTTCTAAAGCCTTTGCAAGTCCTGGTGTGCTTGAAACATATATAAGAAAACATACTGGAGGGAGACCTTTTGAATGTGATCAATGTTGTAAGGCATTTGCAAGGAAAGATAATCTTCAAAGACATAAAAGATTGCACACAGGAGAGAAACCCTATGAATGTGCTCAATGTGGTAAAGCTTTTGCAAGCCAGAGTGATCTTCAAGTACATCAAAGAACACACACTGGAGAGAGACCCTACAACTGCAATCCATGGGGTAAAACTTATTCACAGCTCAGTCCTCTCCAAGTACATCAAAGAACACACACTGGAGAGAAACCCTATGAATGTAATCACTGTGGTAAAGCCTATGCAAGTCATAGTGAGATTAGAAGACATAAAAGAACACACACTGGAGAGAAACCCTATCAATGTAATCAATGTGGGAAAGCATTTTTACAACACTGTAAACTCCAAATACATAAAAGAACTCATATGGGAGAGATACCCTATGCATGTATAAGTGTGGTAAAATCTTTTCATATGATAGTGGTTTGAAAGCACATGAAATAACACATACAGCAGAGAGACCCTATGGATGTAATCAGTGTGGTAAAGCTTTTGCACAGCACACCACTCTTGCAAATCATAAAAGAACACATACTGGACAGAAACCATATGAATGCATTCAATGTGTTAAAGCCTTTTTACACACCAGTGGTCTCACATATCATAAAAGAACACACACTGGAGAGAAACCCTATGAATGTAATCAATGTAGTAAAGACTATTCACACATCAGGAGTCTTCAATATCACAAAAGAACACATGCCGGAGACCTGACCTTATGAATGAAACCAATGTGGTAAAACCTTTGTAAGATATCATACTTCAGAGAAATCCTATAATTGCAAGCAGTGTGGTAAAGCTGTGTACTCTGCATAACTCAATATTCTGTGAGGTCCTGAAAAATTTTAATATGGAAGGAAATATTGGCATAAAGGATTTGTTAAAATCTTCACTGAACACACATTTGGTTATACAAGCTTCTGGAGGGAAAAAATCTAACAAAGGTCAACAATCTGCTCAAGCACTGTGATGTCTCTATTGTGCTTGCACCTGTCAACTCATGTGTACAAAAGTCCTATGAATTCACTGATAAGGTAACCCTTTATATTTCACAATTTTCTTTAATTACATAAAAACCTCATTGTGATCAGTCTATTGCTCTAAATTCAATCTTACATGCTTAGTTCTATTTCATGGACCAAATCATGATGAAGGAAAACTGTTAGGACTTTAACTGTCTCAACAGCTGTGTTACAGGAATGAGTGCCTGCAAGAGAAAATATTCATGTGTGGACATCTGTTTGCTTAGAGATTTGATCTGATTTTAATTGTGTAATGTCAGTGTTCAGTTTGTGAATGCTCATGCTTGTTCCCAAGAACGTTAGACACTTGAGTATTCCTGTAGCAGGAACTACAGAAAGTTCTCAAAAAACCTGACCTAGGTCCTGGCAATGAACTTGTTATAATTTTGCACATCCATATCTCTAACCCTGTACATATTTTAAATCCATTTTTGTATCATCTTGATATCAGGTAACAGGGAAGAACTCATGGAAGAGAAAACCCAATTCATGTAAACAATTTTGTAATGACTTCATACTTGTTGCAATAAAAATTTTTTTGTGTGAACTCAGGTTGTTACTGAGTTCGTGAGACCCAAGATAAATGATAAGTTGGTGTTTATTTGGGCAATAATTTACACAAATTTCAATAGTTGGTGCAGAGGTCCTGCTCCTGAAGATGTAGTCTCTAACCTTCTGATGAGATCCCCAACCAAAGAGAGAGAAAGAGCAAGTGAGAGAAAGCCCACTGCACACTTAACTTGCAGTCAGGTAGGGAGAACAAAGGCACAACTCAAGAAACTTCTGAGCCGGGCGGAGGTGGCGCACGCCTTTAATCCCAGCAGTCAGGTGGCAGAGACAGGCGGATCTCTGTGAGTTCGAGGCCCGGCTGGAACAATAGCCTCTGAAACAATACAGAGAAACCCTGTCTCATAAAACCAAAAAAAGAAAAAAAACAAAAAACAAAAAAAAACCCTTCTGACATCCTCAGAAGAGGCGAGCAGAAAGCCTGGCTCCAGAAGAACCCTTGTGTCTGATTGGTGGGTCCACTAGAGGCTGTGATTGCCTGCTGAGGCCTGAGTGACAGGGCCAGGTGAGCAGAGGAGACACAGCAAAGTGGTGTAATCTGAGCAAAGAATTCCTGTTTGGACCCAGGGGAACAGAAAACTAGAAACCATGAGGTGAATCCTGAGGTGGAGGCTTTTGCTACTACCCCAAGGTGTGAAATTGGCAAAAATGGAAGTTTTAAGGGTTGGGGGTGGTGACTTCTGTTAAGGGCCCATCTGTGTCAACTCGAGGGCAGGATTTGGGACAGGGGTTCCAAATATTCCAACCTCTTTGTATAAATACAGTTACCTGTAGGGCTCCCACCTAAACAACCAAGACTCGCTAGGTGTAGGGGCATAGGTTTAAGTGTGTGTTCTTCCTGCTGACAAGGGATGATATGGGGAGGTAGGGAGTAAGGTGTCAGTGGGCTCAAAATCAGAAAGTGGTATGGGTGCCATCCCGTAGACCTTAGGCATCTGTTCTTTGAGGGGGAGAAGGCAGGTTGGGTGAAGCTTCTGCCATTACAGGATGGTGCAGGTGGAGTGAGGCTTGTGTAAAACAAGGATGATTGCTAGCACCATTCCAAACCCCATCCTCAGGGTGCCAAAATGGGGCCCTCAGCTGGCGTCACATTAGTTCTGGCTAAGCACTTTAAAAGACCGATATTGATCCCAGAGAAGTAGAAAGGGACAAGAGCTCCTGAAGAATTTAGGGTACATCGGGGAGGGGAGAGTGAGGAAGGAGAAGAGGATGGTGCATGCTGGGAGATGTCATTCTGTAAAAATGTGTCTGTTTGGTTTGAATAAAGCACTGTTGGCCAATAGGGAAGCAAGATAGGTGTGACTAGGAGTCGAGGAGGATTCTGGGAAAGAGAGACATGGAGAGACAACCAGAGAAGTAAGATGTCCAGACCCTTTTCTCTGGTAGGAGAAATACTTAGATTAACCATTATGTGTTAGATACTTAAGTCAGAGCTAGCTGTTAAGAAACAAGCAAACAGCCAACAGCTTAATAATGATTATAGCGTTGTGTGTGTTATTTG